TCATTGTATTATTAACATTAGGCAACTTTCTTATTAATATTTTAAAAGACATGCACAGAGATGGCCTCGCATCTATATTGAAAGTTTCATATACACAGAAATTTTTCTCATAGACTAGACTTATATTGCTTAAACTTCTAAAGCCCCACTCGTCTATTCGAAAAGTTTAAACTGTTTCAACAATGTTGCCTGTATATGACAGAGTTTAATCTTCTACCCACTGCATAATGTTTTATTGAGTTTTTCATGTCAAGTAGGTGTAGATATAGTTGCAAACATCCTCAATCATGAGTAAGATTCTAAGTAAAAATATTGCACGATTACAATTGAACAAGTGTTCAAGAAATTTTCAAATACTCAAAAATAAATCCTACGAATGAAACATTTATTGTTATATACTCTCCTTAAAATATTTTTTGCGTTTTGTTGTTGAATGCAAGTTGATCTATGGCATGAAGAAATGAATTTGAATACTTTCCTATATGTAAAGTTAAACGAATACGTAACCCAGCAAAAAACAATCACTGGAAATAACATGGAAACTATGCTTAATTTCACCTAGCCCTACCTGACAGTAAATAAACCAATGTAACCAACAATTATGGAAAACAGATCAAGCAATCCTTGTTTTCTGAGTTTTAGGATAGCACTGTTGGATTTTCAAGTTTTTTAGAAATGTATCTCAACTAAATACTTGCATCTTTCTGTAACTTATCTGTTGAAGTAATTACCGAATAAAGGAATAAAGTAATTAGAAGACTCGGCAGATCATAGCTAAATGTATTCTTTTAGAATTTTAATTTTTTTTCTGCATTGGGCACATTTCTACGATTTGTTACATCATTAAATAGTTCAACACATTCTGCTATGTATTTTCATCTCATAGTCTAATTGAAATATCATTTTGAAAAAAAATCCTACTTCTTCTTCTAGAAAGAAACCAATAGTTGTACATTACATCGGTCAGTCAAGAGCTTTTATTTAATGGTATTGCCTACACCTGGTAAATACCTTCCAACCATAATTCATCAAATGCTTGAGCATGGAGCGGATGTCCATGACGACGATGATGAAGGTCGTACTCCTCTACACATAGCTGCACAGTACCATCGATTGGAATATATAGAATATTTGGTTGCTTATGGAGCTAATCCTAAGGTAGGGCAAATCTAGTGCATTTTTCTAAACAGCCCTACGCATCGTGTGTGAAGAATGTTAACCGACAAGCCAGTATCACTATTTTCGCGTAGCAACCTACATGCGAGTAACTCTAAGAAATCTGAGCTGGAAGCAGAGTTTTTAAGATCAGACCTCTTCTCAATTACTGTAAATATTTAATAAACATTTAATGCTTTTCTTATAAGACTATGTTCCTTTTTTATGCGAATATCAATCCTTAATTTTTTTTGCGAATGGGTGTCAGCTTGGGTATCCCAACTAGGGCTGTACCGCTCACGCTCATGTGCGCTCATATGAGCGTGAGCGACCACCGCTCACGTTAGCATGAGCGTGAGCGGTACAGCCCTAATCCTAACAGTAAAACAACACTGCTAATTATTTTTCAGTGCATCGTACCAAAAGAACAAAATACATTTTCAAAAGAATAACCATTTTGTTCGCTTATCATTTAAGCTATATACTAAGCCAGTCGTAGTACATTCAATTTAGTCATTGGGTAGTACCAACGAAAAGAAACAAATAAATATGAAAACAGCGGAAGTACTATTAACCACACATTTAAAAAATAAGGATGATATCTATTGTGTGAGACAAGAACTTGATAAATTCATAACTAGGAGACCTTAAATCAGCATATATAAGAAATATCAACATTTCAATAGTTTCTACATGCAATTTCTGCTGAATCTGACATAAATTGACTCATTAGGGGCAAAATTACACAATATTCACCATAGTAGGAATTCTAATTTGTCACATTTCGCACACGAGCATGCAAAGCATGAAGTTTTGATTTAGCGCGACTAAATATTCATATATTTATATTGGTTTTTGGACTTGATGAGGCTTTCCTTTGAGGAAAATGTCGAATATTTGTTACTAGAATCACACTGTATAAAATTTGTTTGTCTGCACTGGTACTGTCTCTTAAACCAATTCATTCAAAAGTATATTTTTTCTAGCATTCGAATATATAGATTCACTCTGGTGAGTATAGTCAAGAGGATCATGGCGCATCTTTCAATGTTTTGTAACTAACTAATGATCGTTCAATAGATGTTTATATTTTATACTAGCTATTGGGTTGAATTGTATTTACAGATGCAGCATTAGTTTTATTACAGTGATTAGTTAAATGGTAGACACTCTTCGCACACAATGAGTGAATGATTTGATATGTCGATATTTCTTATCTACGATCTATTCAAAACAATGTTTCTAACAAACCTTCTTATCTATTTCAAAGTAATGTTGTTAGTGTAATATATTTGAACTATGAGATACACCGATAATACAATTATAGTTCTGTGCAAACAGTTTTATAGATTGAGACATATTTTAAGATTATTCCCGATAAAAGTATTCAAGCGCAACATTTGTAGTCAATATTCTGGAAAAAGTTCTGCAAGTTTTTAAACTACTTTCAATTATTTATTTTATCATGAAGGCACGAACAAAATTGGGAGCAAACATCTTACATTTTGCGTTATTTCCAACTGTACAGAAAAAAAGTGAAAACGAATTCAATGAATTAATTTTTCTGATCCTAAAACTTGAACGAGGAAACGGTGATAGATCGTTTAAATTTGTGACCCAAGCAACAATAGACGGAAGACCACCGCTTGCATTTGCTCTATGTCATCCACGACGGAACAAAGAACTTGTGGAAAAGCTGATAGATGTCAATGATAATCAGTTACCATTTGTTATTGACATGATATCACAGCGTTTGCATGATCCAGAAAAACCAGAACTAAAACAAGCAATTTTGGATTGTCTTAATGTATTTGCGGAACGACTGGAAGAATGTGAAAAAGGAATATTTGAACAATTATTTCAAACCATTTGTCAACACAATAACGTATTTCTTCTCCAGTTTTTCATTAAAAAATTCGGGGTAGGTCCTCATATTCTGTAATTCATATTTCTTCCACTTACGGAACTGATTATCATTCAGTGAAGAATTTGATTGATGTATATTATTTAGTCAGTGTCTTAATATTAACCTCATGAATGTCACAAAACCAACACACTCAGTAACGAGATTGCAATAGCCACATGTCTATGAAGTATTCAAGTAAGGAGTGATCAGTTACAACGATGAGCATTACACTTCTTAGCCACTAGGATCCGACCACCCGAACACCTACGAATGCCTCAACTTTTAATATATAATTGTATTGATTGATATTAGAGTAATCATTCTTAATCATTAGGGATTTTTACGAATAGATTGTACAGCTTGAATAAGTGAACTCTAACTGTTAAATTAAAAAGGTCTTTACCGGATGTAATGGAATTATGCATTCACTTCTGTGATTGATAAGTTATTTACTTTTAATAGTATTAAATTATGATTTTGTTTTCACGATAATTATTTTCAAAGTTCGAATCCTTTAATTATTTGTAGAAAAAAACGACTGCCGAAATACGTGCAAAGAACAGTACATCACCTAATTATGGGGAACTCATAGAAGAAATCGATCAAGTTCCATTGATTGATCGAGGTGACTTTGCGGGATACATCCCGTTGCTCACTGCTGTATACTACAACGCAAAAGAATGTGTAGAATGGTTGATCAACGTAAGTAGCCATCTTGTACTTTTCTCGCATTGAGTTTTATTGGCTACAAATATCCTCGACTATATGAGTTACCAATTCAATCACGTACGTTGAATACAAATTTTGCAGTATCTCTCTATGCTACTTACTTAGTCTAGGCATATTTTAAGTTGGATATCAGCCCATATCAACACCAAGCTTGGTTGAAAAGGTTAACCCTGACACGCCAACCTGGGGTCCGTATGGGCCCCAACTCAAAATAAGAGCTCTGATGACATGTCTTGTTCTTTTTACGGGTACATATCGAAAGGATGAAAACTTTGAAGATTGGTAGTACATGGTATTCTCCTTCAGTTTGATATGAATTGAAAAGCTAAACGCTTAGTATTGAATTTGAATTTCATCTGACTTAGACTGGTAGAATCTAAGCATTAATAAAGGTTGGTGTGTCAGGGTTAATATGAAGAACTTTTCGCTTTCGACCAAGTTCGAATTCACTTCTCTCAATCTATAGCAACTCTAATTTTGGACGAGATTATCCGATTTCACTGTATCAAATTTTAACTCTATAATCACGTCCATGGATAGTTTTCTATAGATCTTTCTGTGATTCTAGTGTAAAGAGATCTCTATCAATCTACTGACCGAAAACAATGATGGTGAAAATATTTTACATATTTGTGCTAAACGTCTTGTTCTGAATAATTTATTTAATAAGATCTGGGAAAAACTGGACGAGTTGCAAAAAATTGATTTAGTACATAGAGCCGATATCGAAAACAATACACCAATACTTCTTGCGGCCCGTGCTGGAAATAAAGAACTTTTGAAGAAATTCTATGCCTATATTACCAAAAAATCAACACAGTCGGAACAACTTAATATTTATGCGTCAAGCAGAACTGTGTTTCACGAAATTTGTGAAGCCGGCCATCACGAATTATTAACTTCGAAAGATGTTTTTGGTTGGGATGAGAAAACACAGCCATCATCGGTTCCAAGAGAAACTAAACAGGAATTAATGAAGCAAGATTCTAAAGGATACACTTGTCTCCATTTGGCAGCCGCGAAAGGTAAATAACTTTTTATTTTACCGCAAGGATTCTGGTATACACACCCAAAATTTACTTTTTTCTTGAGAGTTAGCGATTTAGGATCATTCACTGTGACGATGCATGATATGAATGTAAATTTTTTTTTATTGTTATTTTTTGTAGGTCACAAAGAGATCGTTGAATATCTCGTCAATAATCTAGGAATGAATGTTGATGCAATTGATGATCGTCGTCGTACTCCCTTGCATGTTGCTTGTGAAAATGGCCACACAATAATAGTTAAATTTCTTCTTGAAAAGGGCGCTTCAAGCATATTACGAGATGCTAGATCTTACAATTGTTTAGATATTGCCATTATAGGACAGCACGAAGAACTTGTGAAAGAGCTTCTCAATCATGATTCATGGCGAGATATAATGCGTAATGCTCAGCCTATTTCCGGGACTGAAGCATTCGACACGCCTATGAGAAAATTAATTCGTTATGTGCCTAATGTAGCTGCTTGGCTTATTGACGAAAAATTTACTACTATAGTCGGTGGACCAGGTCAAAAGGTATACAAACGCATCTACGATTATGAATTTTATGAAGACATGTATAAAGTTCGTGACTGGTACAGCAAAGGTAAGCACTATATAGATTTATCATAGAATATCTATTGAAAGTTATTTCCAGCTATTTCTGTAATGCATGATTTGTTGGAGTCTGAAACGTATACTTCTCTTTTGTTAAGGCTTGCATCAAAAAGTTCTTTTATTTGATTCGTTATTCAATTATCTTAGTATTAAGTAAGAGGTGAGTAATCAGGCACTTTAATGATTGGTGAATACAACAGGTACCACTGTAAAGACTTTGCCGTAATATTTGAAATATTGATAGTTTGAGTGAACACATAAGCAAATAATTTCTTAATTTAAAATACAAAGTGAGCTATTCGCTTGCTTAGATTACAAAATCGAATTTAGAAGACACCTGAATAAAATTGAATCACATATATGATTGTTTTATACACTCAATTCTAACGAAAGTAACTGATTAAAGTATATAATCTGATTGTACTAATAAACAGTGGAACGAAACATTGTAAAAATTGATGTTAATCTTAGGAGCCTAAAAAATGAACCAGACGCCTTGTATGATTAAGTTAAGAAAAATCAGATCAGGACACAAAATTTATTAGATAGATTTTCTTACGAGGGAACGTTCCCAAGTGATTAAAAGCTTTTGAGCTCATATGTTACCCATTAGGTAGATGACCTCTAGATTAGAGAAACCTCCAAAGGATTCGTGCCCATATTGAGATTTGACAGAGATATCGAATTTTTAGTGGATTTTTCCTGCTGGACCCTAGTTCTACAGCAAAATCATATTTTCGAATTTCGACCTGAAACTTTGCCCAAATGAAGACCTCGATCAGAGTAGCTTATATAGAAAATTTCAGAATTTTTGGACATTGCATCTCCAAGGTATCAATCTTTCAAAGTATCTATGTTATCTATAGAAAAGTGCCTATATTTTCAAAAATTGATATCTTGGAAATGCAATGTCCAAAAATTCTGAAATTTTCTATATAAGCTACTCTGATCGAGGTCTTCATTTGGGCAAAGTTTCAGGTCGAAATTCGAAAATATGATTTTGCTGTAGAACTAGGGTCCAGCAGGAAAAATCCACTAAAAATTCGATATCTCTGTCAAATCTCAATATGGGCACGAATCCTTTGGAGGTTTCTCTAATCTAGTGGTTCCCTACCTAATGGGCAACATATGAGCTCAAAAGCTTTTAATCACTTGGAAACGTTCCCTCGTTAGACTGTGCTTCTATCGAACCAATACAAACTTCTCATTGAATATGTTAGTTTTTCAAAAAATTTTGGAAAAAACTGTAAAAATCAATGAAATAGATAGATTTTCTTAATCATGTCTTCTTACATGTGCTATACGTACACTCTTGCATATGGTAAGAGAGATAAAAATAAAGCTGACATTCAAAAATCAAGCATACATTGGATTAATTATAGAATCGGAAGCTTTCTATGTTGAGATTATGTAGTTACCATATAATAGTACTTTTAGTTGCCCAGAAGCACTATACGATTTCTCGGAGACTTTGAACCCAATATTTTATAAATGTCTAATTACTTTCGATTTCTGAAATGTTTTTGTGAAATTTCATTTTCTGTTTAACATTCATAACTGATCGATTTCGTGTAAAAGTTGATGAATTATACTTCAAAAAATTTTCCTTTTCGTAGATGTTTTTCTTCAAGTTTCAGTCGTAATGATTTGCCTAATGTATGTTTAACGTTATTATGCTACTGACTTGCTCCAGAGTCAGCAATTGAGATAATGGATCTAGTTAAAATTTCATGACTAGTTATGTGAAGAATTCCAACACAATATAATTCATTTTTTTAAATAGATATTTTTATTTGCACAGGTGTCATACTAGAAGGGCCAGAAACATGTGTAACACTCTGTCGAAAACGTGGCGTAGAATGTATTTTTGGCTGCTGGTGTTGTTGCCGAACGCATCAAAGTAATTCGTGTGGGAAATGTTGTAGTTTACAATCCAATATAAAAAACGCATACACTACTGACGCTTATACACTTGTTCGTAATCACCCTTTATTTATCGTAAGTCTACAAGAAAAACAAAAGTATCTAACCCAACATCCATTTCATATTCTACTGCGACGAACCAAACTTAAATCTTTTGGTCTCATGTTATTTAATATTTCTTTTTTTCTCTATATGACCTACCTTGGATTATTAACAGCGTTTGTATTGAAAGGAAAACATCCAAAATATTTCTATGATCGTGCTAATATAACTATGACATTTGATTTGAATATATGTAAAAATGTAAGTGAATTCTTTTCAAGTAATTTTATTTCAACAGACGAAGCTTTTAAAACGACTGAATACAAAAACATGAAATTTGCACTGTATGGAATCATGTCAGCATTTATCTTGAAAAATGTTATTGTTATTGCATCATTATTTCCAAAAGTATTTCGTACGGGTTCCTCGTATATTGAGATATTAGCACTTATTCTTACATATGTTTATGTACTTGATTGGTATCCTTGGCAATCAGCCATTCTTTTTCGATGCCCAATTCAATATCAGTTAGGAGCGATGGGCATTCTTCTTGCTTATATTAATTTACTTTTCTATGTTCGAACAGCTCCTATATTAGGTTTGGGAGTTTACATTGTCATGTTACAAGTCATTACAATGAAATTTCTGCGTTTTCTCCCAATTCTTCTGATTATCATTTGTGGTTTCGGTTTCACATATTGGATGTTATTACAGTACCAAGATGTCTATGGATCACCAGGAGAAGCGTTACTGCGCACCAGTTTGATGGCCTTTGATTTAGGCTACGAAAGTCGTTTATATGATACTCAAAATGGTGGTGTTGGTTATTATAAATTAGTATACTTTATTTTCATACTTGCGGCACTTGCACTTTCTATTTTCATCATCAATTTATTAATCGGTATGAAATTCTTAACAACAGTCATGTTTCATCGCAACATAAAAACAAAAATGAAAATTCAATTTGTATCTCAGAGTCTCTTGATCCTAATATCATCGAATAGATAGGGAATAGTATTTTATACTAAAAAAAAGACATTCTTTAAAGAAGAATTCATTTCAGTTGGAATTATATAGCATAATCTCGTTTCTTTGTAGGTTTGGCAGTTGGTGAAATTCCATCTTTGAAAACACAAGGAACGTCCTCACGCACATTATTAATGTATAATCTACTTTCGGACTATGAAATAATGCGAATTCAATTTCACTTACTCATCAATGCTGTGGTTTCTTGTGGATGTTATGGAAATGGAATTTCATGGTTTTGTCCCCATCCCTATACCATTTTACAAAGTGACGAAAATTTAGGCCCAATGGGTAAATTTAGTACACTATTTGCATACATTAATAAACATTTTTTCAAACAACAAATACAAGACAATGTCCCTCCTAAGAAACAAGCGAAAGACTTAGATCAAGAAGTGGACAACGATAACTTTTTGTCGTCTTAATCATAAGAGAGTAAAACTAGAAAGAATTCTAG